AACAGAATGGGATAGCAGAGAGAATGAATAGGTCTCTGTTGGATAAGGTTAGAAGCATGTTAGCTACCTCTGGTTTGTCTAAGAAATTCTGGGGTGAAGCAGTCACTACTGCTGCCTATTTGGTTAATAGGTCCCCGTCTGTCCCTCTTGGTGGTAAGTGTCCTGAAACCATCTTTACCGGTAAGCATCTTGATTTGTCTAACCTTCAGGTGTTTGGTTGTGCAGCGTATGCACATCAACAGGGTGACAAGTTGGATCCTAGGTCTAAGAAATGTGTCTTCCTAGGTTATCCAGAGGGGGTAAAGGGTTACAGGTTATGGGATAGGAACCAGGTAGGCTTTAAAGTGGTCCTTAGCAGAAATGTGGTGTTTAATGAAACTGATTTTCCTTGCTTGACCAAGTCTGTTTCCGAACCTGAGTCTAAGTCTGATAGTACTCCTAGTGAGGTGGAGTCTGTCCCTGTTGCTGCTAGTCCTTTGTCTGTTGATCCTGTTATTACTGATGATATTGTTATGCATGATTCTGATTCCTCTGAGCATGATAGTCCCACCACCTCGAGTGAGGTGGAGCATTTGCATGATACTGAGCATGATTTGCATGATATGGGTGCTGAATCTGATTTTCATGATAACAATAATTTGCATGAGTTGCATGTGGAGCCTAGTAGTGATAATTTGCATGATTATCAACTTGCTAGAGATAGGAGTAGAAGGGCTATCAGGAGAACTGCTGATAGTATGCCTGATTATGCTTTCATTGTGCATGATACTTCTATGTTTGCTTTTTCTGTGTTTGAATCCCTAGAGCTGAATGAACCCAAGACCTACCGTGAAGCCTTAGGTTCCAAAGAGTCTCAGAAATGGATTAGTGCCATGAAAAGTGAGATGGACTCTTTGAGAGTGAACCAGACTTGGACCCTTGTACCTAGACCTCCCAATTGTTCAGTAGTTGAGTGTAAGTGGTTGTTTAAGGTTAAGGAAGAACCTAGTGATGTTAGGTTTAAGGCTAGGTTGGTTGCGAAGGGGTTTACTCAAAAAGAGGGGGTAGATTATGCAGAAATCTTTGCTCCTGTTGTTAAATTCACCACTATTCGTATGATGCTTGCTTTAGTTGCTCACCATGACTGGGAAATGAAACAAATGGATGTAGCTACTGCATTTTTGCATGGTGAATTGGACAAAACAATTTATATGACCCAGCCTGAGGGCTTTGTGGATCCCAAGAGAAGTGAGCATGTTTGTTTGCTTAGGAAGGCATTATTGTATGGCCTGAAGCAATCCCCTAGGCAGTGGAACATCAAATTTGATAAATGCATGATATCTTTGAAGTTCCAAAAATCTATTTGTGATCATTGCCTGTACTTCAAAAATACTTCTTCTGTGCCTGTATTTTTGTTACTCTATGTGGATGACATGCTGATAATTAGTCCTTCTCTGAATGCTATTAAAGATGTGCAAAAATGTCTTTGTGCAAATTTGGCCATGAAAGACCTAGGTGATGCCAAGAGGATCCTAGGCATAAACATTGTTAGGGATAGGAGTAAGCGTACTCTTACTTTGAATCAGATTTCTTACATAGAAAAAGTTTTGAGTAAATTCAATATGTTATCTGCTTCTCCTGTTAATGTCCCTATGGCATCTCACTTTGTGTTAAGTAAGGACCAGTCTCCCAAGACTGCTCCTGAAATTGAGAAAATGAAATCTGTGCCCTATTCCTGCGCAATAGGGTCGGTGATGTATCTTATGGTTAGCACTAGACCTGATATTGCATATGCAATTAGTTGCTTGAGTAGATATATGTCCAACCCTGGTTTGCCCCATTGGAATGCTCTTAAGTGGTTGCTTAGATATCTGATTCCTACTGTGAAGCACGAATTAATTTTCTCTAAATGTGCTAGTGGTATTGAATTGATTGGTTATGTTGATTCTAACTATGCAAATGATAGAGATAACAGGAAGTCGACCACTTCTTATGTTTTTACTTTGTGTGGCTCTTGCATTAGTTGGAAGTCTCAACTACAACCTATTGTGGCCCTTTCTACCACTGAGTCCGAGTATGTTGCAGCCACAGTAGCGTTTAAGGAAGCCATCTGGCTCAAACGCCTTGTCTCCGAAATTGGGTTTCTAAAAAAGGGAGTTACCATTTTCTCGGATAGCCAATCGGCTATCCAACTTTGCAAAAATCCTGTATTTCATGATAGAACTAAGCATATTGATGTTAGGTTCCATTTCATACGTGATATTGTTGATGCAGGTGGAGTCAAGCTGTGCAAGATCCCGTCGGAGTTTAACCCCGCGGATATGGGTACCAAGTGTCTTTCTGCTGAGAAGCACTTGTCCTGTAAACGCGTGTTAAACTTTGACTGTGGATAACTGTGGGTTGCCTAATAAAGTGTTTGCCCGTTGTGTCTTTTGATATTCCGGGTGACCCGGCGATGATGAGTCTTGTCACAACTTTGTATTGTTACTCTACACCACCTAGGACCAATAACGTGGAGAATGTTGGAGGTATTGGTCCTACCAAGGCCTCCCTTCCACTTTATTTGCTGAGGCTTGCACCCTATTGTTTTACTCCCACTTTGGTGCCTTTTACCTGGTATATTACCTGATCAATAATATACCTTTTGACTCCTTACCTGGCTTTGGCCTCTTGGACTGTCCGCTGCAGTACCTGCCCTTGGCTTGCTATACCCGTGAGTGTCCTTTGGCCATCCCGTGAATGTCCTTGTTGTTTGCCCATAGGCTGGCAGCCTACTATAAGTCAACCCTTTCCCCTTCTTTGTGAGAGCAGCCTGCGTGAGTGTTCTATTGAGAGCAGTGCTCCCTTCTTCTTCATTCCTTTGTGTGAGAGCTGAGAGAGGTCCTAAGTGGAGAGTCAAAAATAGAGTTGTGTTGTAGCTTCCTCCTAGTGTGGTATGTGAGAGTCTGTGTTGAAAGACCTGAGCCGGAGACGGATATACGATCCTTACACCAAGCATTAGTTTTACTTACTTAATTTGTATTACGCTTTGCATAGATAATAGCTTCAGACTTTGGCCAGCTTCTTCACTTGTGAAATTGGCCGGCGAATTTGGGATTTTGGTTTTTAGGTTCGGGAGTTAACTCATATGCACTTTTAACAATAACTTAACCATAATTGATTGAATTTTAATTTCTGATAATGTTATTATCATTAGTTTATACATTAATACACCGTAATTTATAATTGTATTTGAGTTATTCATTTAGTTATTGTGTCAGTGATATTTTATTTTACAATTTTAGATTTTAATTAAGTAATTGTTCATTTTAGGTTTTTTGATTGTTTTTTATTTATTACGTAGCATTATTTAAAAATATGTTAAATATGTAGGTAGTGTCATGACAAAAGTTGGAATGTACTTCGTACAAAGAGAAAAAATAAGTTGAGAAACCATTTGAAGCTTTGTTTCTCATATGGGGCATTTATTGTCATTTTACCTTATTTTTTGGACTATTTCTTATATAAATCACATTAATATAATAGGTGACAACTCCGACACCTATTTAAAAAACGGGGTACCGTATCATTTTTAACAAATAATTAAATTCCATAAAAAGGAATAATTCAATAACAATAAAAAGTAATAAGATATTTATGAAACATTTAATCAATAATTTGAAAACAAAAGGATGTTACTGCAACTCAATTTAAAATCCTACTTCTAGCAAAGGAAACAAAACTATTTCAAAACCGATTATCACAAAACTATTAATAAATTAATATACAATATATATAACGGGCCGGGTACCCATTATTTTTTAATTTTTGAACCGGTCCGGTTCCTTAAAAAAATTACCCGACCCTACCCGGACCGTTTTATGGAAACAAAAAATGGAACCGGCCCGTTTTGGACCCGAACCACCATTACCCGGACCGGACCGCGGTTCCAAGACCCGTTTGCCCACCCCTAGTATCTACCATTCAAATAATTGGTCCAAATCATTATATCATTTTATATTTAGATTTAAATAATTCAACTGCAACATTCAGATTGGCTCATATGAATAAATGTATGGTACATTATGAGTATAATATGTGAGAATTGTGCATTTTCCGCCTAGGGCCACTAATATCCTAAGGCCGCCCCTGGAATTATGTCGTTAGGGATATTAGGAAATTAGGTGGTAGAAATTATATCGTTCAAAGATTTATTTTATGTTCTCAAATCAAGATTCTCCTCTTTTCCAAAAAAATCATGAAGTCCACTAATTGAGGTGAAATAATTAGTTGAGGTTCATTATTAACATATCTAATAATATTTTATCACATATTTTTTCGTACCAAAACTTTCGATATTCAAAAATTACATACAGTTAATTACTTTACCAAAAATCAGTATATCGTAGTTTCACTTCAGTAAAGGTACGATATTTGGAATTTAGCATGCATGTTCTCAATACAACAAGTTATCATACACTAACAAAATATACAAAATCGGTATTACAAGTGACATATTTAATCCATTATTAAGAAGTTACAAAATACAAATAATAACATAATGATATACTTCGTACTACTCAATATTGAACAATAACAATACTTATGAGTATGTTTAACTAGTTCAATGTGCCACATATTAAACAACAATACGTTCTCTTAAAAATAATTTAAAGAACATAGATATAATCACATCAATAGTGGTCTGTAACAAAATTATTTAAGCATCATGGATATAAAATCATTTATCTCTAAGAAGATGTTGTGTATCTTTAGTCATTTTTATAAATTCAAAGTAAATATTTGAATATGACTTTTGGTATAAGAGTCTGTCGATATATCTTTTATTTTCAAAATATATATCAATATCATATCTTCAACTGCGTAAAGGAGAAGAATTAAAGAATACATGAAGGTTTGGTAGCAAACTAGCAATCAGGCTAAAGCGCAATTATTAATTGAGGAGGCTTTTCTGATTGAAGGTTTTCTATATATACAGCATTGTACAAATATGTTCACAACAATCAGAGTGGCGCAGCGGAAGCGTGGTGGGCCCATAACCCACAGGTCCCAGGATCGAAACCTGGCTCTGATAAAGAGTGGCTTCCCTTTTCGTTCTTCCCCTTTTAATGGCCTTTATGGCTGATTTTTGCCCAGCGGACTACTTGTTTAGCTACTGTGTATAGCAAAATTTACTACACATAATGAGTTACAGACTAGAGACTTGCTTTTACCATACAAATGATGATTGATCGCCTTTTTTTTTGAAAGGATTGATCGCCTTTTTTTTTGAAAGGATTGATCGCCTTTTTTTACTACTACACAAATCAATTAATCATTACATGGCCTGGGAAATTATATTCATATCAACAAAACATGCTACAAAGTTCTAAGTGACATGGCTGAGAGGGCTAATCCCCAATTCATCCTCTATGTCATCATCCCCTTCAAAGAGTCTCAAGAAGCGTGCTTGCTCTTGCTGTCTCTTCCTTCTTTGCCAAAACTTATACAAAGTTACCGCACTCAGAACAAAAACCACCGAGACCAAAGCAGCTATAACCACAACTAAAGCCCAGTGCATTTCCTTCTCATTTGAAGGACTTGGGTGATATGGAGCTGCTAAATACAGAATAACAAGGCATGTTAAAAGATAATTTTCTAAAAGAAAAAAAAATAAGAAGCTGCAGAAATTCAATTAGAGCCATAATGTAGTGATCAACTCACCAACTACAGGAGGGATGCACTCGGGGCACAAGAATGTTGCGTTGAGCTCCTTCTCCTTGAAATGGATGTATTTTCCATCAGTACTCGAAAAATCAGAAGCACAAAACTCCCACTCATCAAATACATCATGTGGCTTCATTGTGTCCTCTTCATAAAATCCACATCTCTTGCATTTTTTACTAGGAAGTTCGGCAAGAGGCTGAACTGGTTATCAAACAAGAGTTCACAAAATAAATATTCGTATGAGGAATTAAACGTTATCAGTACTATGTATTACATATTATATAAAAGGTTATATGATTTAAGAAATCAAGCTCTTTATGTAAATGGATTTGACTTGCATCAATTCATGATGGTTTCATCAGAAAGAAATTGAAGGTGCTTCATACTTCCTTTAGCTTTCATGTACACCATAGTTCGTAGATTATTACTAGAAGGATATAAATATTGACTGAATAAGTAAGCTAACCAAACCAAAGTTCGGGACATTCCTAAATTTCAATCAAAGCTGCCAAAACAGGTGATGCATCACTTTCAAGAAGTATATTTCTGTAAAATACTTCTTACTACTTAGTGGAATGTCCCGAACTTAAGAACTTAGTGGAATGTCCTGAACATAAGAAATTGAAGGGTTGTAATTCGTGAAAAGATAAGAAGACTTTAGAAAAGTGAAATGTTAAAAAAATATAGAACAAGAGTATTGTGGAACTTGTAGTATTTCAAGTTTGACGTGACACAGTTAAGTTAAAACACAAATCTGCAGCTCTATTCGTTCAATGTTATATGTATATATAGTTATATATGTATATACTCATCTATCTTCAACAAACATAACCAATCTCCATCCTGTTAGTAATACAAAGTCACAAACCCCTTCATTTTTACGCAAGATCACTCCATTTTGTACAAAACTATTCTTTAATTGGCATTGGCAGCCTTTTGGCAACTTCTAAGAACCCACTGAAACTGGAACTTGTGGACAGTTAAAAGTTTGCTCTCCAGGACACAAATCCACTCTCTCCATTGATAAGCTGGACCGAGTCTAAAGGCTCACGCTCAATAATAATACCTCACCCATCAACCTTGATGGAAATGAAATTTATTCCTTTTTAATAGCCAGCACTTCAGCCTCCAGAGAGGTCACAGCATGTATTTTCACATGAAACGCAACCTTAGAAATATAATCCTCATCCCTTAAAATCAACTGAGTGGAATCAACTTTCAGTTTTAAGCTTTCTGGAAAAGGTTTCTGCCCATTCAGTTTTGCAAGTTTGTTGATTGTCTTATTCTTTTCGTTAGATATCCTGAAAATGCTGCGAAAAAAGACAATAATCTTTGATAGTCTTGATAATGCCCTGGGAATTTATTTCTTACACAGCAATCCTGGGATCCATTTTTGGATTTCAGAACCACCTTTATAATAGAGAGAAGAGAAGCTGAATGTCTGAATATATTTTGATGTGTATATCCCGTTTACAATGAGTTCTATTTATACAAATACTGACCAAGTCTATAAGGTAAGTAATAATATAATATTAAATGGTAGAGATATGTAACGGCTAACTACAATATTATGTCTTAAATGTGAATTATTCTTTTCCTTCAATACGCCCCCGCAAGCTAGGTATTCTGTCACTGCTAAGAATCCGAAGCTTGTCTCTGAGAAGGATAAAGCGTTGCCGGGGAAGCGGTTTAGTGAGGGCATCAGCTATCTGATCCGAAGATGAAATATGATGAACTTCAAGAAGGTCACGTTGAACCCGCTGCCGAACAAAATGAAAGTCAATAGCCACATGTTTCATGCGAGAGTGGAAGACAGGATTGGCGGAAGATGTAGTAGCCCCTTTGTTGTCACAAAGGAGGACTGGAGGAGAAAGTAATGGATGCCGCAACTCCCGCAAAAGAGATTCAATCCAAATAATTTCAGAGGCAGCAGTAGAAAGAGCTCTATATTCTGCTTCCGTGGAAGATTTAGCAATAGTGCGCTGCTTGACAGATTTCCAAGATACAAGGGACTCCCCGAGAAAGATGGCATATGCACTGGTAGAGGAGCGGTCATCAGGATTTCCTGCCCAGTCAGCATCAGCAAAGGCCCGGAGAGAGGGTGAGGTGCTCCGACAAAGTAAGAGCCCATGAGAGGCAGTGCCGTGTAGATAGCGCAAGAGGCGTTTGAGAAGCTGCCAGTGATTAACCGTAGGTTTATGCATAAATTGAGCCAATTTGTTAATAGCAAAGGCAACATCTGGTCGAGTAAGATTCAAATACTGAAGTGACCCGAGGACCTGGCGATAGAGAGTGGCATCACAAGAGCCTGAACTGTAAAAAAGAGTTAATGAAGCAGAGGGGGCTAACGGCGTAGCTACAGGATTAGCCTCATCCATTTTGACAACTTTTAATAAGTCCATAATGTATTTATGTTGATCAAGAAAGAGTCCACCCTGTGTAGGAGTAACCTGCATGCCCAAAAAATAGTGCAAAGCTCCTAAATCCTTGATAGAGAACTGGTGGGCCAAGGAGTCAATAGTCTGACGTACCAAGGCTGGTGTAGAGCCAGTAATAATAATGTCATCCACATAAATCAATACATAGATGTAAGATGGATGGGAGGAAAAGATGAACAAACTGGCATCAGCAACAGATTGATAAAATCCAAGTGAAAGAAGAAAGCCACTGAGAGATTGATACCACACCCGAGGCGCCTGCTTAAGGCCATAAATAGATTTCCGAAGACGACAAACAAACCCAGAACCATCATTAAAGCCAGGAGGTTGCTTCATGTAAACTTCCTCCTGAAGATTCCCATGTAGGAATGCGTTATTGACATCTAACTGATGCACCGGCCAATTATGAGAAAGAGCAATAGTCAAGACAATGCGAATAGTCACCGGTTTGATGACCGGGCTAAAGGTTTCAGAATAATCAATCCCAGGGCGCTGATGAAAACCCTTAGCCACCAACCGAGCCTTATAGCGATCCAAGGAGCCATCTGGCTTATACTTCACGGTATATACCCATTTACAACCCACAATATTCTGACCAGGCTGAGCCGGAACAAGATCACAAGTGCCCTGTCGAACCAAGGCATCAAATTCTACTGTCATAGCACTCCGCCATTCTGGTACCTGCATAGCTTGAGAAGCACAAGTGGGAATTACATGGTGAGGTAAAGAAGCATTAGTGGCAATATTGGCCTGTTTGCGAGGTCGAAGGGTCATTGGATGGGTACGTTTGGGTAGTGGAGTATCGGGTGGGTTTGAGGTAGTGAGAACAGTGGTGGTGGGTGGTAGAGGAGGGGTGGGGATAGGAGGATTGGGTTTGGGACGGCGCTGGTAAGTAATAATTTGTGGTGGTGTGGGTTCAGGGAGTTGGGAGGGCTGTATATCAGTTTGGGTGGAGGTAGTGGGTGACGTGTCAAGAGCCAACTGTTGAGTTGAGGTATGAGTAGGAGGAGACGCCCCCGCAGCCAGAGTACCTGAGATGGGAAGATAAGACACAGAAGGTTGAAGCCAGTGGTCAACTTCAGAAGTGATATTTGAGACGGGTGGTGAGGATGTAGAGAAGGGGAAGACTGACTCGTCAAACACAACATGTCTACTGACAAAGATACGGTTGGTGTTAAGATCAAGACATCGGTATGCACTTTGTTGGTCACAATACCCCAAAAAGACACAAGGTTTAGAGCGTGGTTCCAGTTTATGAGTGGTATAAGGACGTAACCAAGGAAAACATTGGCACCCAAAAACAGCAAGTCTAGCATAATTGGGAGGTTGTTGGAAAAGTTTTTCATATGGAGTGCAAAAGTCAAGGGAGAGAGCAGGCTGCCTATTAATGAGATAAACTGCTGTCAGAAAGGCATAGGACCAATATTTGAGAGGCATGGATGCATGGTGAAGTAGGGTGATACCAGTTTCCACAATGTGGCGATGCCGACGTTCAGCAAAGCCATTGTGCTCTGGAGTGTAAGGAGGCGTAAATAAATGAGAAATTCCACATGTGCTTAGGAATTTCCCTAAGGTTACGTATTCGCCCCCTCCATCAGAATAAACTGTTTTAATTGTGCGTTGAAAAAAGTTCTCAACAATCTTTTTAAATTTTTGAAAGAGTGGAGTGACCTCACTTTTATGAGACATAGGATAAAACCAAATATATTTGGTATAATGATCAACAAAGATAACATAATAACGAAAGCCATCAATAGAATGAACACGAGCGGGACCCCAAACATCTGTATAGATTAAATCTAGAGGCCCACAGCTCGAAAGAGATGATTTTGCAAATGGCAGCTTATGGCTTTTATTACTAGCACATGAGACACATAGAGAATTATTTGTAGTAACATCAGAAAAGGAAATACCTAAGGAAGACATAATTTTTTTAGTGATAGGGAGGGCAGGATGTCCTAAACGACAATGCCAATTATTTAGAGAGTATTTTTGTGTGATGTGAGCAGATGGAGATGGAGGGGGGGCATATGGCAAGCTGTAAACGTCTCCTTCATTCATACCCCGTAACAAAGTTGCTCCCGTTCGTCGGTCCTTAACAAGACAAAAGGAAGAATGAAATTCAATTAGTACGTCATTATCACGGCATAATTTGGCAACAGAAATTAAATTGGTATGAATAGAAGGGACAAAAAGGGTATTAGGTAGAGAAAGAGAGTGAAGGGTCATATGCCCAACTTGTGCTATCACAAGACCTTTACCGTTACCAATGACAAGAGAATCAGTGCCAGTATAATCGGATGCCAAGGTAAGATTATTCAGGTTGTTGGTGACATGATTGGTTGCCCCAGAATCAAGTAACCAACCATTGTGCCGAGTGACAGCCGTGTTGACTTGAGGAGGGTAAGCCTGTTGTTCAAACCGATGCCAACAGTTGAGAGCAGAATGATTCGGTTTCCCACAAATTTGACACGTAACATTACCCCCAAAATTACTATTTCCCGAGCTGTTGCGGGCTCCCTGGTTGCTAGTAGAACCTGCAAAGTTATTATTTCCACGTCGATTGGGACCGTAATGAGCATTGGGCCGTTGATTGCGGGCCTGATTCCGATTATAAGTACGGCCTGAATAATTAGTGTGACTGGGCTGCTGTTGGGTCTGGGCCGGTGGTCCTGGGCCCAAAATTGATGGGGCTGGACTCCCTCTGCGTGCTGCAAGTGCGACGTGTTCGCCATTGGCTACGCTAACATTATTAGCGGTGACTACAGAAACGGAGGAGCTCAAATCTTCCTTGCGCTTCATGGAGGCTTCGAAGCCTGTGAGCAGATTATAAAGGGTCTTGAACCGATTATCGCCGCAGGTACGAATCGAGTTAGCAAAGGACTCGAACTCTGGTCGGAGTCCTTTCAGTGCTTGAACGACGAAATCCTCATCGTCTACAGGGCGGCCAGCCTGAGCCAGTTCATTGGCGAGCGTTTGCAGGTGATGGAGATACACCCCCACCGGTTGAGAGCCTTGTTTGGTGTGGCGAAAGGTGTCTTTCATATTTCTGATTTGAGATGGTGAACGAGTCCCATAGAGTTCTTCCAGAGTTTTCCAAACTGCTGCAGAGGTGCGAGCCGATCCAACTAGAGGTTTACAGGCCGAAGTCAGAGAAGCTATGAGGGCGTGTCGGATGAGTCGGTCTTGCCTAGTCCATCGGAGGTAGCCATCTGCGTCAGTCTTCGGTGGCGGTGCAGCATCATCAGATATATACTGATCAAGGTGAGACCCAAAGAGAAGATCCAGAATCTGATCTCGCCATACAAGGTAATTTGAACCATCTAGCTTTTCTGGGAAGTGACTGGGATTTAGGAGGATTAGTCCATCTGGGGTGAGAGGAGCAGAAACTGTGGTGGGAGGGGTGTTAGAGGTGATAAGTGTACTGGTGGGAATATTATCGAGGCCTCCAGGTTGAAGGAGAACCTCAGGCTGACCATCGGTTGTCATGGAGGAGGGAAGGAGGGCTGGTTAGAGCTCAGTGGCTCTGATACCATAATAGAGAGAAGAGAAGCTGAATGTCTGAATATATTTTGATGTGTATATCTCGTTTACAATGAGTTCTATTTATACAAATACTGACCAAGTCTATAAGGTAAGTAATAATATAATATTAAATGGTAGAGATATGTAACGGCTAACTACAATATTATGTCTTAAATGTGAATTATTCTTTTCCTTCAATACTTTACTGGGACTCTTGAAAAATATTCAAGAACCCTAAAATATGATCCCTTCCATTACTGCCAAAACAGGTAATATACTTAGGGGCTGTTTACTTTTTTCTTCATTAAGTCCTGAATAGATTAAGACGTCTGTCTACATTAAGTTGTCTGTCTGGATTAAGTTATACTGAGATAACAAGTTGTTTACTAAGTGTGCTGAATGAGAAGTCTGAATCATGTCAAATGACCAAACAACCCTCCTGTTGGTAACAATTGCTGAATGTATATTGTCTGTTTACTTTTCTCGTTCTGAAAGATAAAATTTATATACCAGAAAATAATAATACTATGAATTACTAAAATAAAAAAGTTTTTTTACCAGAAATTTTATATACCAGAAAATTAAGTCATAAAATCAAAGATCTATTTTTTAAACAAAATTGTGAAATAAAAATCACTTCACAACCGAGGAGTTTTACCGTATGACTTTCAATCTAAAGCAGCAAGAACAACGCCCTGAATTGCCACCGTCGAGGCATCTTAGAAAACCCAGCAAAAAACAATGTTTACACAAAACAAAAATCCAGAAAATTGAAACCATTATCTGGAATGTGTAAAAATGAAGATCTACTTATTCTATGGTTTGTGTTCCAATTAAATTCAGCCAAACAAGTCAACAAGTGGATTACTTTGATAGTTTGCTCCTGGTTCAAAATCGGAGCAGAGCATATAATAAGGCAATTGTATATTCATATAAAAACATGGAATTTAAAAAATAAACAATTCCAGAAGTTATCTAGATAAATCCGTAGACCGTAGTGAAGATGTAGATCCTGCAGTGATGAAATTGTCTGCTCAAGAAGAAGAGTAGTGACCATGCTCTCTTTCGTTCGTCAAAGAAGAACACGATGTTCGAAGCATGATGAAAGAAAATATTGCCTAGGGTTAAAAGAGGTAAACGGGCCTGTTCCCTTGTCTGAAGCCAGAGAGGAGTTTATTTTTTCCCCTGAACGAATGAGTCGCCTCTTGTCTGAGCGAATAAGTCCTCTGTTTTATTAAGTTCCAAGTAAACATGACTGAACGAATTAATGGTTAAGTCATTAAGTCCATTAAGTCCCAAGTAAACAGCCCCTTAGTGGGACTCTCCACTAAGTTCGGGACTCTCCACTAACTTATCTGGCATCACTTACTACAAGTTCCATAATACTCTTGTTCTATATTTTTTTAACATTTCACTTTTTTAAAGTCTTCTTATCATTTCAAGAAGTACAACCCTTCAAGCTTGATTCATTCAGGAAAATATACAAATCTTACCAGGCAAATGAAACAGATGTTTTCATATTTTCACAACAATAGCACAATTCAAATATCACTTGATTACATTCTTTCCTATTCGCTATTGTCTAATTACTTTTATTAAAGACCAATGGCTATCAAACATTAACCAAAACACAAGACTTTCTCCTGTAATCAATTACTAACAGGTCCAATACACCCCATTCCTCACCAAACTGTAGAAGTGAAACCTCATGATAAAATATTTCACAACTAAGATGACACAAGATCACATCTATCACAGTTCAAGTGAAATCGTTGTGTACATGATAGACTCCACATAATAAAGTAAAGAAAACCTTTCTTGCAAATTGTAGCGTGTTACATGTACTACTCCGCATAATTGGAGACATATTTGAGTAACACACGGTTTTTTGTTTTAGTCAACTCTATTGACGTAGAAGAATTTGGAAGTTATAAATGGTATGAAACCATTTGCTGCTTGCTATGCGGGAATTTTACTTAAATTAAAGTTAAAACAAGACTGTTTTTTGGGGGGGAACTTCTTTAAATGTGATTCTTTGTAAAGGACAGGGGCAAGGGAGTACATTATGGGAGAAAGACTTTCAAGTTTCAAGCTTGCTTAAAAACTGCCATTTATAGCTTTACAAATATGCTTCCAATCGATGATTTGAAGTAAATTAAAGCCTCAAACAATCATGCACAGTAATAGAAATCTTTACATTGTCAATAAAAAATTTGCTGCTTTAACTCTCCGAGAAAACGCTTTTGACCGAACTAACAAAAAAACTGCATCCTTTGTGTATGATTATAATGCAATGTCACTCCTCAACTGTCAGGAAGGGACTTTCCTCCCATTCGTGGGAGATGGATTCTGATATTATTAGTGGGCGTATAAAACATCTCATATCAAGAGGCAATTCACTGCCAATTCTAGCGAACTTTATGCTTAATAATGTTTGTTAAATCTCAAAAGAAATGCAACGAAGTACAGTGAAATAAAAAATGGACCTGCCAAGACTCCTCTCCTTTGAAGCTATATAAAACACCTTTCCTCTTCACATCCGGCAAAGTTGTCTGGTTTTCCCCTTTACACTGAAAGTAAATCGTTGGTTCCAACCCAAGGAACTCATGAGTTTCATATATTTGAATCGAGTCAAGTGTAACAACTGCAGCAGTTAGGAGTTCTGTATATCAAAATACAAACAGAAACAAGATTTCAAAGAAAATGAAGAATATAAAGCAGAACTTCGAGAGAGAAATGTATATAACAGGAAAAGGAAAATAAATTTACCTTAGGTTCGATTAAATTAGGTTCAATTGAGAAATCAATGACCAAGAAAATTAAAGGTCCATGTTATTAAGAAAATAAAAGTTACCTGGAAGCCCGCAGAAAAGAAAAAAGGATACGATAGGTGCCCTTGACCTAGAACGCGTCATGAAGGTCTCCCTCTCTATGTTCTGCGTGTCTGAAATGGAGTTGCGGATCCGACGCCAGAAACGGTGGCGGGTAGCGACGGAAGAGGAACGCCCTGATGGCGCGTTATTTTAACGGATCTTAACGGGTTCGTTTAGTGTAAACCATTGCCCCTATCTCCCTAGTCTTTTATAGGGAGTAACTTTTTCAATTTCCCTTTTTCAATTGTCTCATTAATTTTGTCTTTTTTCTTTTTAAACAATTAATTTGTAGTATTCCACAATTTTATTTTCTCTCTACAAATATCAATCACATAGTTTTTACTTTATTATTCTACATGTTGATCAACTTTGGTAAATGTTTGAGAGACGGGGGAGTGCTTCGTATATCTAATCTCTCCCTTCTAACTTTATGTGTTTGATAGGCACCGACAATTTCGTATAAAGGTGACATAAATAATAGAAATCATAAATTTATTACGGAGTAATTAAAAGCGAAAGTAACAAAGTTTTTGTGATAATAAAAAAGAAAAGATGATAAAGGTATAAAACACATGAATTTGAGGTTTTATATTCATTAATTAAATTATGATTAAAGTTTAATTTAATTATTTTGCCTAATTCAAAAAACAGTGGTCCTTACCTCATTATGCAGGGTTTCATGGTTGTCACTGTGTGCAACGTGCGGAATATAGGTTTGATTATTTGATTTGCGCTTTTTTTATTTTTCTTTTGGGATTAGCCCGGCTTTGACGCTACTCTAGCTTCAATGAAAGATTTGGATTCATATCATACAATATTGCTCATGCGGGAATGCGGTTGCTTGGAGGTTTTTCAGCAGCTCAACCGTAGATTTAACGAGAATGCATAGGATAAAAGTGAGAAGGGCAGTATGGTGCATATCCCGGCCAAAAGGTCTCATTTCAGTCGCAAGAGATCGTGGTGGCGTGACCAGGAAGACAAGAGCAGAGACTTAAGCATGTAATAGGGGCAACGAGGATTTGGGAGCGACGGGTTTGGTGAAGGTCAGAATTCGGCTGATGATGAAAAATCAATCACCTCGGTATTGATGGACAAGCCTCCTCTTGAACTACTGTCATGGGTTGATTTTAGGGTTCGAGAAATTTATCCTATTATTTATTGTTATTTTGTTGTTTGAAGTATACGGATCTATAAGATCAGTGGTATTTGTGTCAAGCCCGCTTCGTGTTTAGCGATACGTGTTCCTCTTTCAGGTGTGATTGTTTCTATGTCTAATCGTAGGGTTTATAGTCGAAGTTGATGTTAGATACTACGTATGATTTTTTATCTGTTTGATGTAACGATCATGAAACTAATGATATATATATATATAGACTATTTCCTTTAAAAAATCATTTTACCAAATTATCCAAGTTGTTCTCAAGACTTTTCAGTGATGAAGTGCATCCCTTTCTGAATTCATTGGTCATTCCAAAATTTATCTCTTTTAAATCCAAACAAGAAGAGTTAAACTTTGTGTAAAGGTGTAATTTATATCAATTCAAATGATGCTTTCTGTCAGTCCAATAATACGGCGAGAAGTAGTATTGTTGCGCATGGCAATATTAGCATTCACAGTACAGTCTGTAAAAGTTATGTTGGGATTTCAGACCCCTTTTGTTGTTAACATTAATGTCTTCAATCAGGTGATCTTCGAGATTGATTGTTTGGAACTGGTCCGACACTGGGACCAACATCGTACTGATCGTTCAGTAATTTCCTATATCTTAGATGAAATTCGACAGCTTTGTGAAACTTTTATTTCCTGTAAGGTTTTAAGTATATTTTTATGAGGCGCGAGCTCAATCAGGTTGCTCACTATTGTGCAAAGTTTTCTTGTACGTTTGTTGAGCGAGTTCTCTGGTTGGGCAAGGCCCCTAGTTTTCTTAGTCATAGCCTCCGAGTTGATTATATTTCCATTGAGTTATCTTAATAAAGTTCATGTATGTATTGTCCTAAAGAAAAAAGAATGAACTTTTTTTCTTTGACTGGGCAAGGGCCCTAGTTTCATTAGGCACAACCTTAGAGTTGATTGTATTTCGGTTGAGTTATCTCAATAAAGCTCATGTAATGTCCTAAAGAAAAATGGACCTTTTCCTTTTCCAATAAAGCACATATTTGGATTGAGTTTAGTAAGATGCGTTAAATTATAGTAATTGATGGGAAACTTGCACAATCTTATATTCATAATAGCTGCAAGTTGCAATCTGAATGGAATAAAATATATGTATGTCACTTTTATAACTTCTAAAATGTGTAGGTATTGGACTATTAATATATTGAGTTTAAGATCATTAGCATGTATGTTTTAATTATTTATCTCATTAGAGTATATGCAAACCTTGAATAGGATATGATATTTATATAATATAAGTATTTTATTTGACTCGACAAATTTTAATGTTTTATATAATACTACGTATGAGTATTTTATATCTCGTAAGTAGTTTATTATTGGAAAAATTGACAAGAATAATCTTACCTTTCACTGATTTTCTCATAATAATCCCACCTTTAAATAATCCCAGAATAATCTCACCTTTGCATCTTGTTGAGGTTTATTCCTTCAACCCCCGGGTCCAACACGTAAGCCCAAGGGTCTCGAGTGGAGTGTGTGTGAGTAAACTAGCCCAACAAGCAGATGGTATGGATTAAAGAGAACAAGAAGTAGCAAGTAATTGATTAGGTATTATTATCTCTTAATAACTCCCTAATACAATACTTTTCGCTAAGGCTCCGTCGGCCGTTCGTCTTACAAGGCAGTAGAAGTGCTGCGAGTAAGGATGCTATAGCTAGAGTGCTAAGAATAGAAAGTTGCCAACCCTTTACAATGAAATAAATGCTTCTATTTATACCCACCAATGGGCAGGTGGCTATACTGACGTGGCAGCCTGTGGACCGCTGGTGCCCCAACTACCAAATCTTCAGCATTAAATGCACTTCCCGCCAGAATCTAGGTTTCCCGCCTAAATAGTGGGGACGTTCGTCCGTCCGGGGAGCGAGCTGGATCGCTCCAAGTGACCCTCAAGAGGCACCGGCTGCTCGTCTCCTGGCCTTAATGGATCCCCACCATGTGGGCCGGATTTCCTCCGATGACCGTAGGCTTGCTCTGGAGACGTTCGTCGTCATCCCTGATGGCCCGTGGTCCTGCTTCTTGTCCCTGCATAGACGTTCGTCGAGATGGGCCGTCGAGCCTGAACCCTTAACACAAGACGTTCGTCCCTCCCCAAGGAACATGGGCCTGCGGGCTAACCTTGTGTTCTAACTGGACGTACATCTTGTAAAAAAGGGGTTAATGGGCCGGACCCCGGCTTGGGCCATTAACCCAACACATCTCATCTTCTTTCATTAGACCCTTTTTTTTGAAAATCTTATATAAATAATCTCACATTTATAGGTTATCAATAGGTCAGGGTCCAATGAAAGAAGATGAGGTGCAAAAGTGAGATTATTCTTGGATTACGTAAAGGTGAGATTATTATGAGAAGGCCAGTGAAATGTGGGATTATTTTTGTCAATTTTTCCTTTATTATTTAACTATCAGGAATTTTTCAAAGTACTTATTCTAACGAGTACGAAAATAATGTCATATATCTAGTTCAAACGGCATATTTTAATATGGATATAATTAAAATATGAACTTGAATTCATCACATTATCATTACCACGTAATTGAGAAGAATGTTAGAAAGTATTGAACACTAATTTCAAAGAAAGTCAACAACAAGAACAACGGCAACAATAAAATGAACACAGAGATAATACTACGTACATCTTAAGACATGTGCAGAGAGATCTTTATGATGGGGATACAAGTTATGGGGGTTGTTGACCCCCCCCCCCCCCCAAATAATATATATGTACAAAATATACATATAAATAATATACGTAAAAATACTTCTAAATTATACGAAGTACAATACTTAAATATGAACCATGGACCCATAAAAAAAATTAAAATCTTTGATCTCCTTTTAGTAAACTTCTAGTTCCACCATCAATGAGAAACAAATACAAGAAATGAAAAGAAAACCGTACAAATAAAAAATACCCCCTAATTTTTTGCTCCTCCTATGTTTACTATATATGCATAACAACCACACATTAATGAACGTGGGAGGGCATAATCCAACATTCGTAGCTAGTTGCCTTCATGCCCAAAACAATAATAATGTCAAAGGGCATAACCCTATTAGCATTATTAATCTTTTCAATCATCATCGCATCCACAGATGCGGAGGCTGCCGGAAGGATCCCGAGATCAAGGCTGAAGAAGAGGCATGTGACATCAAACCCACCTAAGAAAGCGCCGCCGAGATCCCATCATCATTCTCGAAACTCATCTTCTGCTCCGCCAGCGGCGGCGGCGGTGTATGATTGGGTCCAACAAGAATTCGTAACTGCCCACAACGTTCTGCGAGCCACGGTGGGTTCCCCTCCCTTGGAATGGGACGCGACGCTCACAAACTTCTCCCGCGGATGGGCCCATGAGCGCAAGAAGGACTGCAGCTACCGGGCCCACTCACCGGGTGGGAAGTACGGGGAGAATCTTTTCTGGCAGCTGTACAAGGAGTCAAACCCGATGCAAGTGGTGCAGTCATGGTTTGAGGAGCAGAAGTGGTACGACCACGAGAGGCACAAGTGCAGGTGCGAGCCGGAGAGGGAGGGATGCGAGTGCGGGCACTACACCAACTTAGTGTGGAGAAGCACCAAGAAAGTGGGTTGCAGCGGCTTTGTTTATTGCAATGATCAAAGAGGCGTCTATGTCGTCTGCTCCTATTATCCAAAGGGGAACGTCGTTGGTAAAAACCCCTTCGATCCTCGCTAATAGCTACCTACCTAATCATCAACCTCAAATTCAATATAATGTAACATTATGTTCATACATACACATACATATATGTATATAGGAGTGTGTATTTTGGAGGATTGGCGTTGGATATATCATATACGAGTCTATGATCGATTATCATATGTTAGTTATAACTTACTACTATGGTATCTTTTTCAACAAATTACACATAAAAACATTACAAAGATTTTAAACTAAAAATAGAAATATACATATGTCTAACTACGTAAATCTAACAATATTATATTTGTGAATGAGGGTTAATACCCTTGATT